AATAGGGTGAATACATCTCATTACACTGATTTACTGGTAGTCTCGAAACCCTACTCTTACACGAATATAAATATAGTAATTCTGACGGGATACGAGATATTCCCTTAGTGTAGCGTCTATTTTAGCATCAGACATCCTCAGTGTCCTGATATATTTAGTACTCAAACCTAGTAAACCCACGACCGAATTCAAAGATCTATGGATCCCTCATGAGCACACTCTGCCCCTCTAAGCATGTCTAAGATTGATATTTTACAATTAAAATGATATACCGTAGGCTAGCTTGATGACATTTGTGAAATGCAAATTATAAATAACGACGCCGAGTAAGCCAGCTCAGGAAATTTCTGCAATCGAATAGTTCGTAAGAATTTGCCAAGATTAACCACACACGTATACATATACTCATTTGTGCATATAGAAGTAAATATAAATGATAACAAATTTATTATTATGTGAAATCATGACTTATGCGTAGATATGTCAAGAAGCTTTCATATTGTCTTCAAATTTGATTATATATATATATATATCTGGACGGATGAGGGCCAAAAAAACAATATCACGATAATACTAGATTCACCACTAAACGCTAATTTGCATGCATCCGTGCGGACAACGCATGTTCACGTGAGGACAGCTTGGAGACCTCTGTTACATTAGCTGCTTAAATGTTGTATGCCTTTCACTTCGGAAATAACCTACGCTAGGATTGTGCGCATATTTGCCAACCAGCTTGCTAGAGACTTTGCCCACTTTCGTCTGTTTCTCTTTTGGCATAGCAGCTAAATTGGCGGGGACACCAATAGAAAGAAGCACCTAAGGTCATAGACAGAAAATTATCCGATCTGCACACTGGTCATCACATGTAAATAGGGCCAGGCACAACTTTGGCCTGTGTGCATCTCCGCATATAGGCTTGCCTTTAGTAAGCCGTCTTTAGTGGTAACTCTCACTCTTTCTCGGTATGCGTATGTAATTTTATGCAGCTTTTTTGGCTGCCTAGAAATGCAGTATTCTTCTTGTCTGCGGAGGCTTTCAATACACTATCCTTTGAGACAAGCTAGAGCTTGCCTCTTCTATTCCACCCTATACAACTAGAGCGCTGTCAGTTACGCTTCACTTCAGTGAGTTAGTTTCCCGAGTGCCTTTTTGACGAGCTCATTAGTTTTCACACACAAGGTTGTCAGACAGGAACGAGATTCTTAGCCACGGAGAATCGATCTGCACACCACAAATTGGAATGCACCTAGATGTGATTCACTCATACAATTCTGGGAGATGCTATCTTAAAGCAATTAAGGTGTATACACGGATTTATATATCACTTTTGAAGCTAATCTCGGGTGGATTATATGCTCATCGTTCTTCTTCACTGCTTACGCAGTTTCATGATCTGTGAAGGAAAGCGATATATCCCATTTCCACTCTTATTGTACATATTTGTAGGACAGGCAAATGAGTGTGCCATTACAACGAAGTGCCTAATTATCCTAGCACGTAACCCTCGGCAGAGAAAATAATGCAACAGCTGGAACACATAAAGCAAAATCTTAGTAATCTGGTGAAATCCTCAAGCCCAGAGATAGGGGACAAACTGGTGAATCCTAAAGAAATAGCCCCCACAACAGATAAATCGTCCCCAAGCTGCTATGACAATATAAATCCCAGCATCACTCAGGTCACTGAGTGCAGCAACAGTTCAGCGATTGTATCTAACACGGCAACAATTAAATCACCACATTTTCCTCTTTTGCGAGCATTAAACTCAGTTGCCAGATTTACCAATAGGGTTCGCACTGATAGCGCATCATCGGCCAGTCATGTGACGGAAAGATGCGCTCAATGGTTACCCGAGGCAACGGAAAAACAAGTAATGGAGAAGAAATCAGGTTTAGTAAACAGTTCTTGGCAGGGAATGGATTCTTCACTCAATGAAATTATGGGATGCTCTAGTAGCTTTGACCAAAAATACATTGGAAGCGATTCTGGGCCCAAGACTGAGTTTACGAATAGCTTGGGTGAGAAGGAACCAAAAGAAAGTTGTGGAATAGACTGTGGATCGACGAAATCTTGCACTCTCTTGGCTTCTACCCATGATACATCAACAAATAAGCTCTCTGATGTAAATCTAGCGAGTGGAATGGAGTTTCAAGAAGACATTAGTAGCGAGGGCGATAGACTTTTGGAAGATTTTGAATCAGTTTCATCATCTGTCGCTGAGCCGACCTTGAGGAAAGAAGTTTCAAGTAGCCAGTTGCATCGTGGCGGAAATCTGGTTTCTAAAGGCTCATTTCAGCAACTGCCAGTCTTAGATACGCAGCCTTCTTTACCCAATATCTCACCCTCCTTATTTTCACTTGCGTCGTTAAACTCAAGGATGCATACCTCGATGCGAAACTTGCAGGCCCGGAGTCTGGCAGGGCGTACAAATTTGGTTGGACTACGCGATCCTGAAAGTATTGGCTCTGATGAGCCAGACGAATCGAGGTCAACTAGGCCAGTGATGACTGCTATACAACTCAGAAAGATAGCTTGGTGTCGTGAACATTTTTCGATGGATGAGCAGCCGCCTGAAAATCTCAGCAGTGCTACTTATCATCCTGTCGCTGACAGTGAAAAGGAAACCAATATTAAGTTCCGATCTGGAGGTCCTCTCAACTGTACTTCGGACCATAAAAAGAGTGACTCTCCTGAGCTAAGATGCGTCGAATGGCCACTTCTTCGGCGCGCAACTTCTACAGAGGGACATTCTCCATCTGAGCTTTGTTTATCAGTCATGTCAACATCCATTGAAGAATGCAAACATCCTGAGTCTGTATGCGCAAATATTAACGATGAAAAAAGGAGAATCAAGCAAAACGCATTGGCCTCCAGTCATGAAATACCTTCAGCTAGCCCATATTCTTCTCTTGCGCCAAGTAACTCAGCGCGGCCACTTAGAACCGGTCTAGCCGCACTGGCAGCACCCAAATCATCCATTTTCCCCATGGCTTCTAACAAATGCGGAAAGCAAGATGAAAAACTGAAACAGCGTGGGCTTTCAGAATATGGTACTAAAACCAGGAGAAACTGGCTTCGCACAGTGACATGGACGCCTGAGGAACCAATATACCCCCAGAAAATAGAGGTTTGCCGACCACATTTAGCTGCTACCATGTCAATCGATGCAGCGGCAACGCCAAAGAAAACTATAGCTTCAAGTTATTCAAATTTGGAATCAGTCACTAGTAAGATGAATGAACAAGCTCTACTGTGAGTGTTGAATAAGAACTAGATCCATTTTGCATAAATATGGTATAGACATTAAGTAAAATTTTTTATCAAAAACTTTGTAAGTAGGTCTGAGCCTTTTATAAATTATAATCGATTAGTTAGTGATAAAGTATTTTAGTCTGTGAATTTATAAAATATATGCTAAGTGTATAATAATATTTTAAGCGTATCACCGTAGTAATTTGATGTATAAACTTCATGTGAACCTAAATTTAGAGATATTAATGAAATAAAAGTTTTATTCATCGACAAACGGAAATAGAAATAGGAATATTTATATACGATCACAAAAGTTCACTTCAACCTTATTGTAGAACCGTCTGTTTCGATTTTACTTGGGGGACTAAATAAATAAATTGAACTCACCCATCAATGCCATAATAAGTAAAAGCCAAATATAGTAAGACAGTGACAAGCAATCAGATTATTGTGAATCTTTAATTTCAATTGAAGTAAACGCTCAGAAATAATGTTATAAATTTAATATAAGATTGACTCTAAATAAACATTATTTAATGTTAATATATTACGTTGTAGTTCAATTAAGAATTAATCGATTTGCTTTTTAACACAGATGAATAAGAAGGATCTTAATTTATCCTGTAATTATTCATTAACTTACTAAAGCAATTTCAGTAGAAGAATAACATAAAAGACTTTATGGTGAATAAGTGGGCCTTTGTCAGATTGTATAAAGCTTATATTTCGTTAATATAACTTACTTATTTATGTATCTCAAACAGTTATGACATAGGATAATTAAAATTTAAAGAAAATAGTGATCAACTATGCGTTTCCGTATATTTTATCCCATCATTGGTACGCTTGACTACCAAAATCACTAGGAAATTTTATTATTTTGCTTAACTTTAATTTACTCCACCAAATTTTTTAGCATTTATCAAAGCGTACTAATATTGATTGGGCTTCGATACTATACATATATCTTATCTAAGAAATGCATTCACTCAATCTCTCCTACAATGATATGGTCCTATGTTGCTATTGAATATCACATCTTGCTACCTGACGAAAAGTATTCTCATCTAGTATATCGCAAGAAGGAAAACTAAGGTATATTTTTTATCTGCTTCATTGTCGTGAGGCCTTAAATATTAGCTTATTCAATGAAACTCTTGAACTAATTGTAAGTTGCTTCCGCCCTTAAGATTATTGAGGATGAACCAGTTTAATTACCCAAATGAAATGACC